AATTAACTTGGGGGGGGAGGGGGGGGGGGGGGAGGAGGGGGACACAATTAAACATTATCAGTTAGAGGCACTATCAAGTTCAACAACCAAAAATTCCTTGAAATGAAAAATCGAAGGTCATCAGATGCTATTATTGATAGGGCTCGAGCACGAAGTAGCTTTTTTTCAAAAGTATTTCAAAATTAGAAGGGAGGGGGGGGCAGCTGTGTCCCTCCCTTAACCAATACAAATGGTATTCGGATCATTTCCTTGGCATTGAATAGAAAGTAAGATAAGCAAAGACAGGTAAAAATGCAGCACAACCATGCATTACATACACTGAGTTCAACATTACTCAGAATGTTGAAGTTATGTGTTAAACTTTAAGGATTTTATTGGGGGTGGAGTGTGAGTGTGTGTGGGGGGGAAGGGGGGGGGGGAGTGGGGGTTGTTGTTAACAGGTGTTAAACACTTACCAGTAAACATGATATTAAAAGTGCAACGATAAACCGTTTGATGGTATACCGCGGTTTATTTCTCCACGGTTCGGTTCACGATAAGTGAAACTGATATGGTTCGGTTCAATATGTCCGTAATTATCTGAATCATCTGTTTTGGTTCCTTGTTTACAATTTCAAAATGGCTTCTGCACGAAACATGAGGTCAATGAAACTGAAGAAACGGCAGTTATACTTGTTTCCGGTCTCATATTTAACGGGTCTAAGCATGTAATCACTTTCCTAGTGTTAGTGAAATAAACATTTGATAAAACTTTTTAATTTAAAGTATATAATGACAAACTTCCGACTTTTTAACTCACTATGTCACGTATCATGATAAGTATCGTATCGTGAACTGAATACCGTGATACGTACCGTATCACTGGGTAGGCGCATCGTTGCACCCCTACATGATATATATATCAGAGGTGAGTTGTTTTAGACTTACCCAGGATGTTGGAGGAAGGAGTGGCTGACTGATAGAGAGGCTGGGATCCAAACAGACCCTGTCCTGATTTATCTGTAACCAAATAAAACTAAAAATAACTATTACATCACACAGGTAACAGGAGGGGCTGACTGATAGAGAGGCTGGGATCCAAACAAACCCTGTCCTGATTTATCTGTAACTAAAAATAACTATTACATCACACAGGTAACCCCCCAATCTGTAACCAAATAAAACTAAAAATAACTATTTTCTGTAACGAAATAAAATCTCCACATCAGAAAACAATCTAAAAATAACTATTACATCATCACAGGTAACCCCCCCCCCCCCAAAAAAAATATTCTGTGTTTTCCCCTTTTGGTTTTTTTAATTTTTTTTTTCAGATACTGAAAGATTATTTTGATTTGAAGGTGGACACTTGACAAATAAAAAAAACCTTGAAGAGCTACATGATGAGACACAGGTGATCTGTAATCAATCAAGAAAACTGGTTGGATTGATATATTGGGTAACAAAGTGTAAAGGTTCTCACCATTGTTTGTTTTTGATTCGTCTTCTGAGTCACTAGCCGAGTTATCCGATTCGCTGGATGAGTCACTACTGCTGCTGATAAATCCAATCCAACCTAAACAGAGAAAATACTATTATAATACAGGGTATAACTGCTGCTGATAAATCCGATTCAACCTAAACAGAGAAAATACTACTATAATACATGTACAGGGTATAACTGCTGCTGATAAATCCAATCCAACCTAAACAGAAAACATACTACTATAATACAGGGTATAACTAGTAATAGTTACATGATGACACGAGATGATGCATACAAAATATCGTTGAGTTATTGCACGCGAGGAGGCGTTAGCCTCCGAGTTTGCAATAACGAAACGATATTTTGTATGCATCATAGAGGTGTGAATCATGTAACTGATTTATCCCATGACCCTTCATTTGACCTCTTCCCATATTAGGTATTTTCTTTGCATCAACTAATAAAGATTCTGAATCAGAACCATGTGATAGTCTCAACTGTATTGCATCCAAGTAACAGATTCCCATATTAGGTAATTTTGTTAATACTGTATAACGTGACCAATATTTGAGATCATCAATTTATTTTGGTCCATGACCCTTCATTTGACCTTTTCCCATATTTGGTATTGAATAAAGACTCTTAACAGAACCACGTGACAATCTTAACGCGAAGTGTTTTGGTATCCAAGTAACGAATTTCCAAATTTGGTAGTATTCTTAGTATTTACCTCGTGATCAATTTTTGAGATAATCAATTCATTTTGTTCTACGATTGACGAAGATGGCAGACGGAGTTCAGAATAACGAATTGGAATTAAACACCGTTTTTCAGCAATCCTATGACGATGACGATTTTCAGTTGAGCCAGGCTGTTCAGATGTACGAACTAAGCCAATCTGATTTAAATGACCAGGAATTTGGGAATTTTGATATTCAGAATTGGTGTTTAGAGGCGTTTCCAGAATTAAAACAGGAAACATTTACTGAACGGCCTGAAAGTACCACTACTAGATTCGGAAAACCCGTCTCCGCTACCGAGATAAGTGCACTTCAAAAAAACCAAGAGAGTAAAAACACCCGCCGCAATACTTCATGGGCAATTAAAGTCTTCAACGACTGGAAAATTCAGCGTAACCAACAGCAACCTGATTTTAAAATCATTCCAGAAATCCTCAAAAGTACGTACCAAGAACTTGCGTATTCTTTATCATGTTTTGTGATTGAAGCCAGGCGTGCAGATGGTTCCCCCTACCCCCCAAGAACTTTATATCAAATTTGTTTGGGGATTCTGCTGTACATGCGAGAGGAGGGGGTTCATGATATGAACTTTTTAGATGTTAAAGATGCCCGTTTCCATGACTTCAGGAAAACTCTTGACGCGCGAATGAAGGAGCTAGCATCCCAAGGAATAGGAGTGTCTATCAAGCAAGCGGATCCGTTAACGCCGGAACAAGATGACGTCCTGTGTGAGAAAAAATTACTGGGATCACATACTTCGAAAAGTTACATCAACACTGTATTTTATTACAACTGCAAACTTTTTGGACTCCGTGGACTAGATGAACACCGAAAATTAGAGGTATGTCAAATCAAATGTGGCGATTCTGATGGCAAGGCATACATTGAATTTTGTGGGCGCACATCAAAGAATTTCTACGGAGGATTACACCAGGAACATTCTTGCCAAGACGATACGCCACTACTCGGAATCCGGTACAATCCGCAGTTTGTTTGATGTTTATTCGTCCTACATTTCCCTGGTGGGGAAGGATCATTCTATAGACGACCACTCCCAGGACCCGAACCATGTTTTGGAATCCAACCTATAGGGGTCAACAAGTTGGGAACCATTATCAAGACCATGTGTGCCGAGGCAGGGTTCTTGGGGAACTTTTCAAATCACTCGGGGAAAAGGACCTGTGCAACGCACAGGCACTTGTTTCTGTAAAAAAAATTTGACCCATAGTATAATAATAACACAAGGTATCTAACTCCAATTTACACCGAGTACCCCCCTCCCTTAGAATCGCGCTCATTTACACTTTCAGAGGAAATGCACAGGTAAACTGTTTATACCTATGTCATCTACGATAATTTATCTACACAACCATATCTGGCTATGCTTGTCTTTATTTTCTTTTATCTCCGTAATCAGCGTCAAAACTCTACTCGCAGGGTGGAAAGTCGACTATACCATAGAATCGTATGTTATAGTATCGGACAGAGAGAAAAATTAAAGAATGCGTGGGTTTAAAAATTCAATTCCAGATTTGAAATATTGCATCGAATAAATAAAATTTTATTGTGTCTTATTTTCCATAATAACACTATGATGTTTTTCCGATGTAATTTAAGAAACAAATTTTAGCCAATCAAATTCGAGGTCTAATTCTTTGCCCGATACTATAATATACGATTCTATGGTATAGTCCGACTTTTCCACTCTGCGAGTAGAGTTTTGACGCTGTTTACGGAGATTAAAGAAAACAAGGAAAAGCAAGCCATATATGGTTGTGTAGATAAATTATCGTAGAAGACATAGGTATAAACAGTTTACCCGTACATTTCCTCAGAAAGTGTCAATGAGCGCGATTCTAAAGGAGGGGGGTACTCGGTGTAAATTGGAGTTAGATACCTTGTGTTATTATTATACTATGGGTCAAAAATTTATTACAGAAACAATTGCCTGTGGTGCAACGACATTATTTCAGTCCGGTAAGCATAGATTTAATCAAAGTGTCTAAAAAAAAGGAAATGATTAAAATATTTAATGTTTGATGACATAAAAGTTTGCTCGCTATATCGTGTACGTGACTCGAATTAATAATTTCAATATTTATTTACACTATAGGTTTTGAAGAGCAACAGATTATAGAGAGAACGGGCCACCGTAGTTCCGCAGTTAGAACCTACAAAGGCAATCGGAGCAACAACTCCTTGAAGTAAGTAGAGCACTGGAGCCGCCCCAAAAATCCATAAAACAATGTGACGACGAGAAGGAAAATGCCATTATTCCGAAACCGGAGCCAGCGGAGCATGACGGGAAGGAAAATTCTGCTATTCTACCTAAACACCCTCAACAGGATGTGCGAATTCCTATGGCCAGTATGGGAGATAAAGTTATCCGATTCGAAAATTGTTCCGTTTCGATGTCTTTTTTGTAAACCGTGATTTTTAAATTTCTGTGAAGGAGAGTGTCATTATTCCAAAACTGGAGGATGCCCGCCGGGGAGGAACATTCTACCTAAATAGCTTGCACAGGATGTGCGAATTTATATAGGAGAACGATATCCGCTTAGAAAATTGCTCTGTGTCAATTTATTTTTTGTCAGTATGTAAAGAATTTCTAACATTTGTGCTTTGATTTAAACTGTATTTTCTGCTTCAGAAGAGCGGGATATTGTCAATATTTTAGAAATGTCATAAGTTGTGTAAAAGTTGCAATGTTTTGTGCCTTTTTCTTGTTTTATTTAGTTCATTAAAATTTAGAAACGATTTTTTTCTCATTTGCATAGCTCCTCCTACATCCAGGGTCTAACAGTTGGATATCACTAGCTTTATATCACATATGTGATATTTAATATATCACCACACTAAAGGCACACTTATGTTGATATGAGATATACACCCTTGTGAAGATCAAAGGGAAATCTGTCGGTCATGGGATAACTGCTGATAAATCTACTATAATACAGTAAAGCATTTACATTTGCAAATGTTTGCCCTAAATGACACTATTTGAACAAGGCATTTTTACATATCAGTAAAACATGTTCGTCATGTGACCATAAATTGATTGCTTGGTCATAAGTGATCTACATAATTTCATTGTGACGTCATAAGTGATCGACATGTTAAAGTAGGTCTATACTCGCACTACGTCATTTAGGAATAGTAAAACCGGAACCGCACTTCCTTTTTCCGAGATGAGATTTTTTAACTATATTGGTTTGACTTTTACTTAGCGTTTTCAATATCCGGTAACGATTTTGCTCAAAGTCGGTCGTGTCAACAAACACATATTCTACAGTTTAAAGATAAATTGATTAAAAGAGAAGGCTGGGAACAACTTTCGGTTGACAGAAATAATTAGGTAATAAAACGATATTTCTGTGAATGATGCATGTTTTATATGCCGAGCCGAAAACAAGGACCCTATACATGCTACATCAGAACATGTATCAAACTATCGAGGCGACTATTGTCGGCGGCCAAGTTGAAGCTAGTAGTGATAATTCGGAAGAAAAGTAATGACTACGATTTGACTCAGAAAATTTATGGATTTTACTAATCAAACATTACAAAATTTACTTTGAATTATAATTATTGCATAAAACGCATACCCCCTCCCCCAACCTGCTTACCCACGAATCCCAATGCAAAATTACCTTTTGAATAAGTATTTGACAAAAGTTGATTCACTTGCAGCACACTTCGTTAATTTCTGTAGCAAAATCATCCAGTTTCTGAGAATCATTGAATTACTTTCATTTTCATCGTCTCCAATTTAAAGACAAGTGTGTGTTATTTATTTTTTTTTTTTTGAGTAAAATAAGATAAATTTTAGGGACATTTGGTTTTGGGTGTGTATAATTATTGTTTTAAACTATGTACTATGCCATGTGTAAAAAATCTAGGTGCATTTTTCGATCAACACCTTACTATGGAAAAACAGGTATCCTCGGTCGTCAAGTCATGCTATTTTCAAATAAGCAATATTGGACGAATACGGCGCTTTCTTAAAAAAGAAGCCTGCAAGACCATGGTGAATGCCGTTATCACAGCCAGGCTGGACTATGGGAACTGCCTTCTATATGGAGTGTCGTAGGCCTTACTAGACCGGATTCAAAAAGTCCAGAACACGGCAGCTCGTTTAGTTACAAGATCATCAAACGGGAGCATATTACACCTATCCTAGCTGATCTTCATTGGCTACCTGTTTCTTTTCGTCCACAATATAAAATCTTGACATATGTCTACCAATCCTTACACGGATTAGCTCCATCTGTATCAAAGATCTTATAATGGAATACAAGCCTACCAGATCACTGCGATCTGAGTCAACATCACGGTTAGTTGTTCCTAAGATCAGGACGAAGACATATGGTGAAAGTCGACTTGGTTGGGCAGCAGCATTTTTGTGGAACGACCTTCCTAATGATATAAAGCTGGATATTTTCAAAAGACAATTAAAGATGCATTTTTATAGGATAGCTTTTTAAATTTTAGGTGCTCAATTTTTAGCAGCAAATCATAAATCACAAATGATGTTCTTTTATTGAGTTTTATTGATGGTGTAATTGTATTTTGTATTTAATTTGTAGTATTTTAATGTTATAATTCGGAACATATATATGAGTATGGGTTAATATTTTATATAAGTTTTCATAGCTTTTAAATTATGTTTACTTGCGTTTTATTGTACAGCGCTTTAGAGTTAAATTATTAATATTTAGCGCTTTATAAATTCATATATTATTATTATTACAACCTTGTTAATACAAGTATACACTCAAACATAAACAGTATTACAGAAATATGTGGCAATATATTACTTCTGGAAGAAAGAAAATAGGGGGGTCCCTTTAGTGTAGAGCTCATACCACGAAAAGTAATGCGTCAACATATAATTTTTTTAAGCTTATTATTTTTCTTAAATATAATTTAGTAATAATAATGCAAATTTACGAAGTTTGAGTCCATAATTTTTTTTAAAATGACCGAGATTGTCCAGTGAAGCATATTTTCTCACATTAAATTTTAATACAATAGCCTAACAAAGTGCATCTATTTATAATAATTCATGCAAAACAATGATATTATATTGTTTACTAACATGTTTCTACTATATTTTGGGTATTAAAGTTGAATATTTAGACTTAAATTAATTTATATACAACAAAATCTAGGATAGGTGAAATTTCAGTATTTTACATTTCGGGGTATATACTCCGATAGGCTATAGCGGAAAAGTGAACATGTTGACATATAATTTTTCTTGTGTCTATCCATTGCTGGGATGTATGTCTATCTTACAAAAGCAGATTTTTAAAGATTAAGCCCATTTAGTGCCGAGTATAGAACTACCTTAAACGCATTAAAATTATACCGTTGAATTTTGAAAAAATGTAAATCTCTTACGGATTTAAAACTTCAGTGCCTTACTATTTTTAATAAATCAGTTATCCAAATATAAATAAAAGCATGAGAAGTAATAAGGTATCATTTTTTTAGTTTTATTGGGATGTAAAACGGGTTGGCACATGATCAAATCTCCCATAAAGCCCTTCGGGCTTTATGAGATTTGATCACGTGACCAACCTGTTTTACATCCAAATAAAATTCAAAAAATGATACCTTATTTCTCTTAAGTAAAACATTGTAATATTTGATGAAAACAAGTCTGTCTTACTCTGTTCCGGTTTCTGGGAGTCTTCCATTTTTGGGTCATCGTGTACGGGGGTGACGGTCGGGGACTCTACTTGGGGGGTCGGGGGACTGACGCTGATTGAAGACGAGGCCACTGCTTTCTGTTTGACTGGGGATCTCTTGTTGACATCCACAGGGGTCAAAGGTCGGCTGCTCTGGGATATTTTACTACTGCCTTCCATTCTGTTAAAACATAATATTATAAATGCATACTGTAAATTCTTTATTTTTTGCGAGTACTTATTACCGTGAATGCGCTCTTCAATGGCAAATCGCGAGAATTATAATTCATGAATGGCCAACTGATCAAGAGATCTTACATAAATTTCATCACTAAAAAAATACAATCAAGAAATTTTATTTCCCATGTGGTGCTTCTTGCAAAATTACATGACAGTTAATTTCACACGTATATTATGAATCTACAATATTATTTTTATTTTTTTAAAAATGACAAGAAATAGAGGCCTTTTCCTCTCTCTCTGTACTTGAAAGTTACAAACTGAACTTATTGAAAGAGATAAAATCAAAATAGTCAATTTACTTTATTTCTCCATCAATGTACTGGTTCATCATACAGTACAGGCAACGCGGATCCCGTATTAGACCGAGTCCCCTCCGCGGTGTATTAATCCTTTCCGCGTTACAACGTCACGGGTTTTGATCGCGGTGCTACCTGAGACCGTGTTTACACCGCGGCGGGGCCAGCTACCGTTATTCTTCAGCTAAGATGTTCTTACCTGTAAAGTATTGTCGATTTTTAATCGTGTCGAAATGAGGGGAGGGGAGGGGGATTACAAGCACATTGATATTATAGATTTATTCCATTACATGGATTCTTTAAAAATTCATTTTTTAAGTTTTATCAAATTGTTTATTAAAAAACATCTTTTTTTTTTTTTTTTTTTTGTACCAATATAGTCACTCAAAATTAATTAATTCTCAAACACGTCTGTTAACAGTAATACATGTACAGTATAGGATGAAATAAAGTCGAATAATTTATCGAATATATTAACTTAAAGTTTATTTTCAAAATCAATAATGCCACCCCAAATGATCTTCAAATTGCTAAAAAGGTATAATTAAAATTTAAAGAATGTTTAAAGAATGATATCGCTTCTCTTTATATGCACTGGTGTAATCCGGTGTTCACAATTAGCCCGTGCAGTTGCAGTTACATGTAGCTATGTGTTTATTTATCTGCGAGATTCTATCACAGTCATTTGGTTTCATTAAAAAAAAATACCTTTAATACTGTGTACATGTCTGTTATAAATAATACCATGAAAATGATAATAGTGATACATAATTACAATTAAATTTTAACAAAACACGCGTAAGTGAAGTAATACCGTTGTTCCATTATTATGCGCTACACTGTAAGACTATGAACTAAATATCGACGATTTTTATTTTTTATTTTTTTTGTGTGTGTGTGTTTTTTTTTTTTTGGGGGGGGGGGGGGGTTATTGTTAATAAAATAATCACAGGTCATTCTATTCAGAATTTCAATAATATCATAGCTAGTATTTGAATAAATTTCTATTTTCTGCTCTTTTCGAAAATTACTAAAATCATGTCAATGAACATAAACAAATTTCAGATTTCTCCGGTTCAAATAAAACACAAACACAAATATGGGCCCTTAAAATATTTGAACACACAACACAGAAATTAACTCATTTTAATCAGCAAATTGCCAAGCTTCAAGTTTTCAGATGTCTGTGTTACCGTTCGGTTTTCCTCAGGTAAGTTTGGTGTGGAGTGGAGCTTACTCGAAGCGGATGAGAAGCCCCGGGGAACGACGCCGTCTAGTGTACATACTACCTATATACACAGGATGTTACCTGAGTGTATTACCTGTATGCGTTTTCCTACGACATTATAAAACGAAGACGTTTTTTTTTTTTTCATGTGTAGCTCATGGATTGAAATGCATGAAATAAAGAATTCAATGTTTTTGTAGCAGACAGAATCCTTTTTAAATTTTTTTGTTTCAAATAAATATTTTCATTAAATCGACAATTTTAATATACTGTGTTTTTCTTAATCAAATTTTATAACAAAAATACATTTTTTTTACCACCAAAATCTGTCGTTGTAATCTGGCGACAAAAAGGGAATTAATTCAAATTACATGCCATGTACTTATGCTAAACGAAAGAAGAAAGTGGATCATAAACAAGTCTCTCGATAAATAACAATAAAACTTAGACAAAATCCACAAATGGTCAATAAACTGATAAATCAGCGGTAGTTTTATTCGCTAGACTTAAGAAATTGATATACTGATCAAAAAGGAGGAAAAACGATCATGCACGTGCCTTAATATTGTGATATTTTTCTTCTCTCTCTCTCTCTCTCTCTCTCTCTATACTAACTGGTACAGATATAAACAGACACGAAATAACATAGCAATGGATCATTATTTGATTTAATTAATATTAAATACTTCATTAATTTGTTTTAAAAGTTTGCTTTTTTTTTTCACTTTTATTCTTTTTACACACTCCGTTTAAAAAAAGCAACAATAATTTGACAGAAATTCCAAGGCTAATATGGCATCTGAAAATGATATCGATGAAATAATAATGAAAAATGAATCAAATGTGTTGTTGAATGGCTAGACAACGATGTGCACATCCAGCGAGCGTTACCCAAGGTATACTCTAAGACAGGTGTGAAACCCCCAGGGCATGTCGTTTCCTGCTCAGGCACTGCTAATCCCTATACACAGGAAATGATCGCGGCTAATACTTAATACACAAAGAAACAGAATTTGTCCAAGAAAACAAAAATATATGAATTTTTGCATTGAATATTTATTGATATAAACTATAATTTCGTCTGTGAATTTTATCATTACACCTACACATCCTATCTTATCTATTGAACACGAAAATCGAGAAATATTAAAATTAAAAAGAAAGACTGTCTCACATTGTTTTAAAAAGTAATACATGTTAAAATGAAGGTGAAAAACGATATTTTTTTCTTGATCTCTTGTATAAAATTCACGTGCTCAAAGTTAACTCTCGCCATCGAATGCTTTTCGGTCATTTGACAATTTGAGAAAAATGCCTGCACATTTATATAAAAGAGGGAAATAAATTAAAGAAAAGTTTTCTTAATTTGGGAACAGAACATAAACGATGAGAAATAAAGAAGAAAAGAACTATTTTCTTGATATCTTGGATAAAGAAAATTTTAGTTCACGTGCCCTCTACATGTAACTGCAAATGCTCGTCATCGAATGTTTTCCGGTAATTTGACACTATAAGAAAAAGCCTGTACATTTTACATACAATAACTCGAAATTAATTAATAAACAATATGAAGATGTACATTTTTTAAAAGATGTACATCTTTTTTTTCAAATGAATGCTGAAAATCGCTTATCGAAACTTAAACAGTCTGAGTTCAACATTTATTACAGTTTGCATATAATATGAAGATTTAAAAAAAAAACTAATTAAAATTTCTAGTATTTAATTTTGTTTCTTGATAGATTCTTAATAACACAAAATAATTAACCATTGCAAAGACGTAACAATTTAATAAAATTTTCTATTCAATTTCAAATATTGATATGTAATTTTAGAAACAAAAATAAACTTATTTTTTCTAAGTTTAAATTCTATTCATAGCAAAATTAATTAATAAACACACGGTTTTTTGTTTTGTTTGTTTGTTTGTTTGTTTTTTTTTTGTTACAGGGAAAATTCGCAAATTACAATTCGGGGAGATAACTCCCGTTTGTTTACGATACTAATTGTCAGTAATTGATCGATGATTTAACCGCGGCGGGGACAGGTAGGTGATGAATTTCCCGCGGAGGGAACGCAGTTTACCTGTCTACCTGGCCAAATACCGCGTTGTGATTATACCGCGGCGGGGACGCGGGAAATACGGGATCCGCGTTGCCTGTACTGTAGGTGCAGTTAAAAAAAATCATGTGCAGGGCGGGACAAATAGCTAGACAGAAGCAGGGCTTGTAGCACGTGGATTGGCGGAATCAAGAGCATGTAAATATAAGGAATAACTGTCAGATTTTTCCATTTCATGACAATGATTTATCGATTGGCTTGCGTGATAATTTTATGCCTTTGGCATTTATGCTAATTATCAAGCAAGCCAATGGATTGATAACATCATGAAATTGAAAAATAAGACGGTTATTCCTTAATGATTGTGGGACAAACCTGGTCTTTTTTAAGTTGACGGTGTTGGAGAGTCTCTCCAAAGTGAATGCCCCTGTCTGATGGTCTATAATTAGAACGCATTCTTTAGGACTCGGCCGCTTGTTGCCTTTGTACATGGTGTGTGATGTACCAGAACCCTACAAAGCGGAGATTAATTGTCCAAGTTTCATATATATATATATGAATTAGAAATGCTGATATGATACATGTATGTTGAACACTGATATCTTAAAGAGTGATATCTAGGACACTGATATCTCTTTATCTGATACTGTAGAAGTGGAAAACATTACGGTGTTTTTAATTTCACTATGTTCACGATTTTAGAATATTCCGTGAACTTTAAACCATCGTGATTATTATTTCACATCATTTCTACCTATACATAGTCATAGTACCAGAATGTTTTCAAACAATTCTCCGTGAAATTTAAACCACCGTGAAAGGTAACTATCCAACAAAACGTGAAATTTTAGACACGTGAAATTAAAGACGTCTACAGTACATAAAAGACTTAACTTAAAGACTGAAAAACTCAAATACTGATATCTTAAATATTAATAATGATATATGAGTGACTGATTTCACAAATGTATGGAAAAAAGTTCTTGTTTTTACTAAAAGTCAGCCTACATACATAGTTTTATCTAAATTAGTAAAATGTTTTAAATATAGAAGTGTCATCTTTACCTCGACTTATAGTCTATTTTATCCTGCAACTACCCCTTGCATTGACCAAATATTAAAGGTAACCTTATAAACCAAAGCTTTATCCAGTCACTGCCCTAATAAAGCCTCGTGCATTGTGACGTCATGTTCATTGCAATGTTTACGCCACGGCGTCATAGTTTCAACTGCAGAGATGTGCCTAAATCATTCGGAAAAAGCTTGTTTTGGACGTTCAAATGTAAAATTTTGTTGCAGGATAAACAAAATACATGGTTACTGTCTTGAAATATAAGCAATATTTGGGCTCAGGTTGAAAACGTAAAAGGGCTCGGCAAGCCTCACCCTCTATCACCATGATAACATTTTCTTACCCTCACCCAAATATCGCTTATATTTCAAAACAGTACCATGTATTTTATATTTATATATATATATATATAGAAGTGATATGTTTATCTCGATGTACAGTCTATATATGGAAGTGGCATTTTTTTTCTTGACGTAGTGTATATATAATATAATAAAAGTAACATATATATATTGACATAGTCTATATATAGAAGTGACATCTTTACCTCAACGTAGTCTATATTTAGAAGTGTCATCTTTACCTCGACGTAGTCTATATTTAGAAGTGTCATCTTTACCTCGACGTAGTCTATAAATAGAAGTGTATTGTTTACCTCGACTTAGTCTTTAAAGAGAAGTGTAATGGTTACCTCGACGTGGGGAAGTCCCACTGTCACCTGGTGCCCCTCCCCAACATCCACCAGTCCTTGTTGTGACGTGTCAACCGATGCTGGCATGAAATCATCTGAAAAACACCCAATAAATTACTTTAAAATGTATTGACCGACACTGACATGAAATCATCTGAAAAACACGTAATAAATCAGTAAAAAATGTATCGACCGATGCTGGCATGAAATCATCTGAAAAACACGTAATAAATCAGTTAAAATGTATTGACCGACGATGGCATGAAATCATCTGTAAAATGTGTCAATTAAAAGAAACTTTTGTTGTACAAAGTAATGACTAATGTACTATCTTTTTACCCAGAGTTTGTCTGCTATTATTCTCATTCACCCTGCACCCTGTTGGCTATTTACGTTGCCCCCCCCCCCCCCCTTGAATTTGTGCAAAACTTACACAAGTGTGGATAACTACCAAAGACTTTGGTAGAATTTTTAATCTTCGACCTACTCAAATCTGTTCAGCCTACCACCACAGGAGTTGAGAGTTTTAGTGTTTTCCCTAAGAACTGACTACCAGCCAAATTTACCGCTTCAATTGACAAAAATGCCACTTTGAAATAACAATTTGTTGTAAGGTCCACAGAGATTTTGTTTATAAACCTCATACCCTACACTTTTACAACTGATCTCTAACCCTTTACTTTGAAAAAAAAAAAAAACAGGTCCAACACAATACCCCAATAAAGGTATATAGCTGTATAAAGCTATATAGCTTTATCAAGGTATTTAAAATACCTTGATCAAGGTATTCTATGCAAAGAAAATTCAAAAAAATTCTTTAGTTTAAAAATTAAATACTGAAAGTCGAGTTCTGAGTTTTTGTCAGTGTGTCTATTCGTGCATGAAAAACACTGGTATCTAAAAGAAAGCATAAAATAACGTCTCCTCACACGAGACAATTTTATAATGATTTGTTTGTGTTTAAGTATTTTACATGCATGTGTGAATTTACTGACAACAACTCAGAACTAGACTTTAAGTATTTAGTTTTTAAAGAATTTTTTTGAATTTTCATCACATAAAATACCTTGATCAAGGTATTTTAAATACCTTCAGTTGATAAAGCTTTATCAAGCTATTTAAGAAATAAGGTATAATTTTTAAACATCTATCGGGATATAAATACGGGTTGGTCACGAGATTAAATTTATGATGAATTTAATCTCATACCAACCCGTATTTATAGCCTAATAGACAGTCAGGGGTGGTACTGAAATCAGTCACTTTTGAAAATGATGGATAATGGTCATTTCTTCTAAGTATATAATGTACACAATTTTCTGATTTTTGTAAATATGACGTCTTTTCATCATATTTCCATTCTCAAGTCAATTTTCCCATCCCATTTACTACAGTAATTAGATATAGTACACTATCCTGCCATAGACCCTTGTGTAGAGAAACATCTTGACAAGTAATTGAAACCAAAATAATTTAGTGCGCCCCGTAAAACTAATGAGATAATTAAGTGCGCCCAGACCTAACAATTTGATAAAAAATGATGAAAAACAGTCATTTTTAATATCAGAGATAACTCTATTTCTAAAATAAATTTCAAAATAGAAATGACTGTTTTTCATCATTTTACTAAAAAATGATGAATTTCCATCATTATTAAAAATCAATTTAATGACTGAAAATCATCATTTTTAAAAATGATGGATTTCAATCACACCCCTGACTGATAGATGTTTTAAAATGATACCTTATTACTTATATTTACATTTGGGACTTATTCATACTTTATATTTGTCTGATTATGACTTTTAACATGTGAAATGCATTATTTTTCAAACCCAGCGGCAAGTATTGTAATCCACTGATCGCGCGTCGACCCTTTATGACGTCACTGAGAAATTACGTCAAACGATTATCCAAACGCACATCTATGACCTCTTGACCCCATACCTGTATTTATACAGTTATAGATATGCTTCCTTTCAGTAATGTTATATAAAGGAAAACATTTGCAAATGTAAATATATAGCTTTATCGAGGTATTGTGCTGAACCTGATAAAAGGAAAACACTGAGTTTTAGCAATAAACCAATGTAAACATAAACATTTCGCTCACAAAACTCAAAGGTTATGTCTTTGTTGGTTTATTGATAAAACTGCCGACTCCTGTGCTACCACTTACGTAAATTTTATCTTACATTTTCAAAGTTCTCACAAAAAATATAGTATCTCAGCATGAACAGATACTGAGAAAGACTACTCACAGCGGAAAGAGTGGAAGGCAACTCGAGATTTAGGATCAAAACTTGAACCTAACTTAAGTTCATGGACTTTGCTATCGACTGGAAGTATCTTCTCTGTCATTTCAAAGATAAACAACTGTCCACTGTGTAGATAAAACTGAAATAAACACGAAAACAGACCAACATCTGCTACATTTCGATCAAGGTTCACAATTTTTTCAATACCGTTCAGTATATTTGGAATACCGCGCCCGATCAAATTTTACAAAATTTTTGTCTTTTAGGCACAGGGGTTTGTCACGAAATATTTATCTTCTTTTAATATAGTTACCCCTACTATAAAGATAGACAAGGGAGGAATCTAAAAATAGGAAATTCGCTACCACAAAGGAGTATATATGGTAAGAGCCAATTTCGGCCCCCTAAAAATCAACATTTTAGAATGACATTCAGATATGTTTAATTGATATTTATTTTGAAGAAGAGATTATATTAGAACTATTTCTTATATATTTTTCACATTTATATGCACTCTCTAGCTGTAAATGACATGAGAAATGATGCTATTTTTGCTATCAAACAAAAAAGCCCAAAAATATGCCTTTTTCTTGATGTTTTTTCTTATGGGAAACATAGAGCGCAGTGTAGAACATGAATAATTTTTCTGTCACTTATCAGTATTGGATAGCTACATCTTTGGTAAAAATATAAATCTTGTTCTAGGCTGCGCTCTATATTTTCTGGAAGAAAAACTGCTTGAAAATAAGCAGTTTTATACAAAAAATGCTAAAATGGCGGGTAAACTTGATTTTTATGATGTCATACTTCTAAAATAACGGCGTTTTGATCAAAATGAAAATGACCAATAAAGGTCGCATATATAGCTGTACAAGTTAAAGCTATATATAAAGTAAAATTAAGATACTCATTTTAAGGGGCCAATTCAGACACTTACCATATATCGCTCTTTTTACCGGACTTTCTATCTAGTTTCTGGGTAACTTGCGCTGCCAACCAAGTATTTTTATAGTAGGGGTACCTGTAACTATATTAAAAGAAGATAAATATTTCGTGACAAGCCCCTGTGTTTTAGGAACTTTTGCAAAGGATCTTAAGGAAAAATATTTGGAAATGTAAACAGATGTAAATGGTGTAGGAAACATACATGAATTAATGGTTGCCAGCTACTGGAAAAATATCTAGTTTTATTAAGACCTGAATACAGAAAGCCAATTTGCAGATTACGTGTATCAGCACACAGGCTATTCATAGAATTGGGCAGATATAATAACACACCCAGATCAGAAAGAATATGTAAAAATTGTATGCTTAATCAAATTGAAGATGAAAAACATTTCCTTATTCACTGTAGCAAATTTACAAAGGAAAGAGAGGAGCTATTTAACCTGATCTCATCTAAAGTAAAACATTTTACAGAATTGCCCGATAAACAAAAATTATTCTGGATTCTAAATTGTGAAGAATTAGATATACTAAATTCTCTTGGAAATTTTTTACAAAAAGCATTACCATAAGTTTTAGGAATATGACTTAATAATGTATGCATAGATGAATGATGTACTGTATTAGTGTATATATACCTATAAAACAATTCTTATGTACTATACATATAAAATTTTTTGGGTATTCCCCTACTTGTATATGTCTTTCCTATCAATCAAGCAACCCTTTCCCTCATATGTATATGTATATTGTATTGCATGTGTATGATAATTATATACATTTTAACAATGTACTTTCTTTTTGCCCCACGAGGGCCCTTAATTGGTCAATAAATTGAATTGAATATAGAGCAGGCAGGTAAATTTAAGACACCCCCCCCCCCCTCACAAGACTATTGCATACATATGTAGACATGCATGGTAGTTTTCAATTGCGAATTTTCCGACCTTTTCCGACTAGCCGGCGGAAAAACAACCTCCGCTACAGGCAAGTAGCAAAGGGGGGACAGGGGGCTACCCCCCACTTTTTCCCAACATTACAAGGGAATGTTCATTAGTGGAGGATCCAGAATTTTAAGTGGGGGAGGGTGTTTGAGGCCTAAATTAAAGGGCCGAAGGGGTAGCATTGAAGGGAGTGTCCCCCTCCCATAAGTGGGGTTTCGGGGCCTCACCCGAGAAATTTTTTTAAATAGTTCAAAATAGTGCCTTTTCCAGCATTTTTGGGATACTTTTTTTTTAGTTTTTTTTAAGACCATTCATAACAAATTAAGAGTTTGGAAAAAAGAAATGTTTCAATTTAACTTAACTTTAACACAAGACTTTAGACTTTGCTTTTTTTTAAAAATGCTTTATATCTGATTTTAGGAATACAAGCAGTTGACTTCAAGATGTCTTCAGTTTATATGCACCCTCAATATTAATTTAATCGTATGTCAAGTTGACTTTCAAGATACAACTGATGTGTTTTTCAATTTACTTGAGTATACTGTCAATATGATTTGGAATGTAAAACACATGTTTTTATTATTATTGGGGGGAGGGCAGGGGACTTCTTAACTTCTTATTCTTCATATCTATATGACTTTTCATACCAACTTACATTAAATATAAGTGTACAAATTCGAAAAGGGTACGAAAAAAAGAGGGGGGAAATCTTATAATTAGTATGGTAAAATGAATGATAGAAGATATTACTAGACTGAATTTTAAATATTTTGTTTTTAATACTCCTTCTTCCTATTTACTACTAGTAGTTCCTCGCCTTCAGGGATGAGGCAAAATTTATCACAATAATTGGACTGGTACAAACAGGCATGGGTCAATGAGATTTTTCATCAAAGAAAACCATGGGACAAAAACATTTTAGCATTAAGTACCCGTGGGACACAAACTATTTTTTTCAATGAGTTACAGTACTTAGAATGGCAAGACAAATCTTCAAATTAATGGACAGTAGAACAAAGTATGAAAATGAACAAACAAACCGGCAAACAAAAAATCAACGATATTTGAAATATCTTCATATGTAATCTGAAAGACTCTTAGTTTTGTTCCAATTATTTCACTAACACTAAGATGTAACCATGGGACAGTACTAATAACTTTATTTTAAGTCTTAAGGTATAGGACAGAACTTTTTTTTTAAATACGAATGCCATGAGACACGTACTTTTTTTTTTAAATGAGAATTTTGTTTTGTACTGGTCCCATCATTGTGATAAATATTGCCTGGTCCCTTACAATTTAAAAATTCCTAAACATATTTATCCACCAAATTTTGTTATTATTAGAACTACAATGTACATGTATTAAGCAAACTAACTCTCAATTCCGGCCCATATTTTCCATCCATTTATAATTCAGTTCACTATAATTCAATACATGTGAATGGAGATTTGCTGTTTCAATGCAAAGAAAATTTTATCAATTGAAATCAGACTGAAAACATCACCAGATTTTCAAAAACTCACGAAAATGGATAAATGACTCTTAAGTCTCCCCGTTAATATTCAACATATGCCATTGATATTCATAAAGTCATAAAGTACATTTTTATTTGTTATCTCATTTGAAATTGGTGAAATGACTATATTTTCTGTTTTTAATCTTTATCCCCCCCCCCCAACTTGCTTTGAAAAGAATATATAACAAGAGGCCCATGGGCCACATCGCTCACCCAAGCATTGTGGCTAGGAAAAAATAGAAATTGGTTTACAATACTATTGAAAAGTTTAAATCCAAAAGTTTGGCCCCGCCCTACCCCTGGGGGTCATGATTTGAACAAACTTGAATCTACACTACCTGAGGGTACATCCATATAAATATGAGCAATTATGGCTTTGCTATTCTTGAGAAGAAGATTTTTGAAGAGTTTTCCTATATATTTCTATATAAAACTTTGGTCGGTCATTGTGGCCCCGCCCTACCCCTGGTGGTCATGATTTGAACAAACTTGAATCTACACTACCTGAGGATGTTTCATCATAAGTTTCATCTACCTGGCACAGTTATTCTTAAGAAGAAGATTTTTAAAACATACTTAGTCTACCAAATTTTCACTAATTCTCAATTATCTCCCCTTGAATGAGGGCGTGGCCCTTTATTTGGACAAACTTGAATCCCTTATATCCAAGGATGCTTTGTGGCAAGTTTGGTTGAAATTGGTCCAGCGGTTCTTGAGAAGAAGTCGAAAATGTGAAAAGTTTACAGACGGACGCCGGACAAAATGTGATCAGAAAAGCTCACTCGAGTCTTCGGCTCAGGTGAGCTAATAACTGGAAGAAAAAATGTGGTTTCACAGGAGATGTTTTGAAAGTAAATTTACATTTTCCGTTAATTTCCAGAGTGATTTTATTTTCAAATGAAAGATTCATATCCCTTTGTGTTATGTTTTACATGCACAGATCTAGGGGGAGGGGGTGGGGGTTACGGACCACCCCTTTCGAAATTGTTCAGTCATACCGGGGATAGATTAATATACAAACTAAACCAATTAAACGTGACCTAGGACTCCCTCCCCCTTAGAAAATGCAGACCCGTGCTCAGTTGGTCCGAAGTCATAGATATGAAGATATGAATCAGAAAATGTCAAACCCAACCCCCTCCAGCGAAATAATTTTTTTAACCTATAAAAAAAGGAGTTTACGGGTTTTTTCTTGTCGTTTTTTTCTTGTCAAGAATTTTTATGGATAAGTTTTTTTTTCTGAGGCAGACCTCGCCTCCTGAAAAAAATGAACGGATCCGCGCCTGTGTTTTGGGTTTTTTTTGTTGTTTTGTTTTTTTTTTTTTTTGGATAAATCACATAAATATGAAAATTCATTCAAACATGTGTAGCAGTTGGCAGAAAGCAGCTGATAGTTGGCAGTAAGCAGTGAGCAGTTGGCAGTAAGCAATGAGCAGTTGGCAGTAGGAATTCATAAGTAAAAAAAAAAAACACATACAGCATGCATGCATTTTATCAGCAAAAGAATATTACTGAGCAGCACTGTATAACGTAACAATGCAGTTTTCTGACGTTGAGGCCTGAGTACATTTTGTGACTTCACTAGTACCCTGATCTGTACCTGTATATTGCGTTATTTCCTGTTACGTAGAACTTTGTATATAGTTCACAGTTGTACAGAACAATGGATTCGACTTAAGAGTCTTATCAATGCAACAAAATTATAAAAGAACACTTGTAAAAAAAAAACAATGGGGAGGGGGGGAGCCAACCCTCCCCCTGAATCCGGCTGGTTGGCCCTCCCAACTTAATCCTTGTGATATACCGGTAAGTAAAATTTAGTATAAGAAATTGGTGCTGAAAAAAAGTTGGCATTGAAAGAAGTTGGCTTTTACACCCTCCCACCCCCGACTAAATAGGATTTTCGATTATGGGCAACTTTCCTTTTTTTCGCTTATCTACTTTTTCAGTTAGTAATTTTTTCTCTCCCCCCCCCCCCAATTTAAAAAAACGATGCTACGTGGCTGTAACACATGTCGGATGTCGGTTATTCTATGATCGAAACACACGGAGAAAGGTACAATATTCAAGATCAAAAGGTCCACTAAACAATACAAAACAGGAGCAGTTGAGCCGACACGGACCACCAAAACATCGGAGGTGGGATCAGGTGCCACTGGAGGAGTGAGCATCCCCTGCTGACCGGTCACACTCACCGTTTGCTCTTTGTCATGATTGAGAAATAATGGAAAAAATCTTCTTTTTGGGGGGGGGGGAGTTTAGCCCCTTTCAATTAGCCACCCAAGTTTCAATTTGCTTCCGACGCATTATGGTTATAAATTTGCTAGTACTGGACAATTAATTAATAAGATGTAGTTCAAATACAATAAAAGCTGCAACGTTAATATGCTCCCATCTCATCAATACATTTCATTTCAGTTTTTTTCTTTTCTTTATTTCTGAATACAGAATTTTGTCGGCCTATTCAGAGGGCATATATACGTACAGTATATATATGTAAAAAAAGAAAAAGAAAAAAAATCAGTCATTTTTACACCTCAGTAAAATAATACATGTATATATATTTATAAACCAAGACCCAAGTACCTGTGATACTCCCCACGGCACCCCGTCCAAGAACCAATATTTCAGTGGCGGATTTAGAGGGGCCCAAGGGCGCTCCTTTTTTCTGTCCATAATATGTACATAAGCTTTCATAAATCATTTTTTTTGGGGGGGGGGATGTGGCCTCTACCCCGACCTTAAACTAGTTTGACTCCCTTTTCAAGATTCCTAGATTTATCATTAACAAATGCATATTTTATATATACATTGTATACTTCACGGAAAAAGAAATAATCTCGAGTATCTGATGTATATATATCTAATATCCATATTGGCCATAACATTTATTTATGACAATTTAAAAAAAAAGTTCACACTACAATAAACTACTGAAGAACAATATTGCTGATATATATTGCAATGAAAGTAAGTTTGGGGTTTATTATTTCTTATTCCGCTCTTTTAAATATCATAGACACGAACATTTCCAGTGATGTGTAAATACATATCGGGATCGAAATACCAAAAAAAAAAAATACTGTCATCCAAAGATCAAGTCCAAAACGCAGACGTTGAAAAGGGCGAAACGAGTATATTATAAGTCACTGTAGAAAGCAGTATTCTTGGGAGGAACACGTGTGAAATAATTGGTAATCAAAGTAAGGTCATATCTCCTTGACATAACCTGAGTTTTGGTTTGTTTAGGATAGATTGTGTGTAAGTTGTTAACAAGGAAGTGAATAATCCATAGGGTTTGTCTTCCGCATTATTGAATGTAAAATCACAGGGAATTTCCACCCAACGGCTCTTGCCATCGGAAATTTAACTACATTTTACAACTTTTTCGGAAATTTTAAAGCAAGAAGTCTTTCAAGAAATCAGCAATTATGCTGCATAAAATTGAATTTTACTTTATCATTCAGATTGAGAACTAATATGTTTTACGGCGTGAACGTTGGGGCAAGCGCAGTTATGACCATCAAAAACAGTTGAAAACTTGAAAAGCTACTTCAAACATCAAGCTGCACGAGACATCTTGACTATCTGTGATGTCACGGAGCTCGTCGGAGCTTACGGAGACAGCCAAGCGTCTGGTTGAAACTATAGATCTAGTGCACTTTTGGTCGAAAAACATTGAAGAGTTATTTATTGTTTCTTTGAAATATTTCTACAAACTGAAAGCCTTTTATGCTTTACGTAATTGATTATTTATTTATTCGCGCAAAGGACATTGGGTAGTAAAAGAATTCTGGGAATGTTTCACAACAAAATTTGCCTGACGTATTTACAGATTTCATTCCGAATTTCCTGTTCTTACACGTTAGTCTATTGAGCTCGCTTCAAAATCTTGAATCTTCTTTAAATACACCTAAAATGTTGTTGAAATAAAAATTCTGACACTCATAGTCAAGAAAAACCACTTTAAAAAAAGACGAACTACAGTTAATCTCAGCAAGACGGCGTAAGGACTAAAATTAGGTCTGGTGTCCCTCGACATGTCAGATCAATGTCATACAATGTGATTAGGGCTTTTTTGCCCCGACCTCGACTGCTTGTTTCAATCAATACGGGCTGAAATGAAGTAGCTTTTCACTTCAACTTTTTCTTTCAAACTTTCCTCTCTTACTTTTAAAAGGTTTAAATCCAACATAATATAAAGTTGTTGATTTTTCATAGAAATATTCCATTCATTTAAGCCTCCACTGCTGATAAGTTCCGCAATAATCTGCTTCAAATATTTCGTACTATAGTTCATTCCTATATGAAATACAGTATAACTCGGTTATAACAAAGTCACTGTGACCTTTGAAATTACTTCGCTATCTCTGTAATTCATTATATCCATGTAAGGAATTTGTAAAATTTATATAGATGGAGATCAAAGACGACTTCACTATATCTGTGAAATTCGCAATATCCGTGCTCGTACTAAATTATTTTTACTTAAGTAGTAGAATGAAGTATTCGAAGCAGCTATTGCAAAACTCTTCAGCATTGAAGGTTTAAATGAATGGGATATTTTCATGAAAAATCAACAAGTTTATATTTTGTTAGCATGTAAACCCTTTGGGGGAGGGGGAGGGTCACATAAAGACGTCAGTGTTATACTTCAGAATGCATGTAAAATGTCTTTTTAAAAATCTATAAAAAAAAAAAGAAACATCCCTGGGCAGTGTAAATGAAAGCTTGTTTAAATCATGATGCTCCAGGGGTGGGATGAAGCAACAACAGTGGATATAAGTTACACGTAAGAATATAGGAAATGCCTTATTTTCTCAAGAACAACAAAGCCATGATTAGTCATATTAATATAGAAGCATCCTCAAGTGGTGTAGATTTCATTATTTGTTCGTCATGACCCATGGGGGTATGATGACAGTAGATAAATATATAGGGAGAAAATCCATTAAAGCCATGATTAGTTAGTTCACTAGCATGATATATATCTACATCAATAAACATACCCCAAGAAAACCTTGTGTGAATTTTTGGACCTATCATAGAGTTTCATAAGCTAAATGGTTCATTATTTATATATAGGTTAATTGTCTCAATTATTTTGACAGATTTCCCAGAATCCTACCATCCAATTGTCTAGAAGAGGAAAGAATCATCTCCTTACAGGTTTTTTTTTTTCAATCTCTCACAAGGGTACATGTATATTGATTGACCCATATTTAAGAATTAATTTACATTGTAATTGTATTTATATGCCTAGGTATATACTTCAAGTCATGTATACATGTATGTATGAACATATCTTTTTTATTTGAATTTTAACACTTCTGGTGTATTACAAGCTCAAGGACTCGTTATTTATATATACATAGGTTACATGTAATAGTCTTAATTTATTTTGACAGATTCCCCAGTGTGTAATATCCAACCATTGTCAGGGAAAGGGAAGCATCATGACATCTCCTTACAGGTTTTTAAATCTCTTTTACCTAGAGGATATTCAAAG